TTTAAATGTACTAGATTGTGATCTTGATGATAAAAGGGGATAATCTGTTGCTAAGTAAATATTTTTAATTCCTTCTTCTTCCTTAATTTTATTCAATGTTTTAATAAGACCTTGAACACATTCTGGTAATAATTTAGGTGTTGAAGATTCTAATCTCCAATGAATTCCAATATATGAAGAAGATAATTTATCTTTTATTTTTTGAGCTTCATTCAATATATAATCACTATAAGGTATAACTGGCATAGTTTGAGGAAACAAAGGATCAACTACTTTTCCATTCACTAATAAAATTTCTTCATCGATTGTGAGGACTTTAGTAAGCAATTCGGACAATTTAACTCGAGCTATTATCGATCTCATATCAGTTGTTCTGATAATCATTTTTGTATATTTTACTCTGGAATTAGTAGGATCTTCGAGATTCATTAATGGTTTGAATTTTGAAATACAATTATATACATCAAAATTTGTTTCTGCATCATCATAAAATGTTTTCTCAGTATTTCTAGATCTTTTAATACTAGAATGTAATATTGATAATGGTGGTATGATTTTGTTATTGTTATTATTCATCATCCTTTTAAGTTGATCACGTTCTTTAAGCCAGAAAATGAAATCATTTTCTGATTTAAATAAAACATTAGGAAATTCTTTTTGAAGTAAAGTGATATTGTAATAAAAATCAAATGGAAATTCGTTACAAGTACCAATTCGAGAAGAACCAACATTTGTTAAAACCATTATACGATTTAATTTTTCAGCCAATTGACTAAATGATCGAAAATGTAAATTCGCTTTCGTTTCTTGTTCTCCAATAAGATAAACAAACAAAAATTTACATGTGGGTTTACCACAATATTTTTTGTTTAGTTCTTCTAATTGATTTTTATTATTATCATCATCAGTTATGATAGTTTTGTTTGTATTTGATGTAAGATGAACTCCTGTAAGTGTTTCTTCATTCTATTTAATAACAAATTATTTAATTAATAAACATTCGAATACATTAGGGAGAATTTTCAATAAAATTTATTTACTTTATCTGATAATAATTCTTCTTGTTCAAAATAAAAAGAACTAATTATATACCACAATAAAACGAAAAAACAAATTAACACAAATTTTCTCGTTATTTGACTCAAAGACATTTTTT